AGGGGGAGAGCAGTGGGAATGCCACAGGAAATCTGCTTCCTTTGCTGAAATTCAGGATTTTCCACGATTTTGTTATGTATCTGTTTATGGGGTTATCACTGAGTGATGTACAGCAGCCAGGGTGCTGTTTATACCACCTTCTCTTAAAACAGGCTTTCTGGTGGTGGTTCTGCCCTGCTGAGAGAATGAAATGCTGCTCAACAGGCAGCACCTGGCCCTGGCAGGGAGGGGATGGTGTCTGCAAGGTGCTGTGGCTCAGACCAGCTTCCCTGTGCTGGACACTTTGGGCACAGGCAGGTGCCTCCTCCCGAGGTGTTTGTGCTCCTTGTGAATGTAAAACTCTCACATGAATGAACACTGCCAGCTCTGCCCTTCGAGAGGGGATCAAGGCTTCTGGGCAGCTTTGTTGCTGAAAATTTCCTTCTTTGACATTGCAAGTGATTCATATCTGCTGAATGGTGGAGACACTGCAGGGGGAGGGAGGGATTGTGGATTAAACCTTCGTGGAAGGACGTGCTGTGTGTTTGCTTGAGTGTAGCCAAGGGCTGTGTTGATGGTTTTTATTTATTTTTTTTTTTGCTGTAGTAGAACCCAGTGACATCAGTAAGGCTGGAAGAAGCTGCTTTGTGCAGGCCCTGCGTGAGCTCTGAGATGAAAGGCCTCACAATTAAAAATTTAACAGCGTTCATGGATGTATTACAGGCAGCCAACAGCAGCTGGAAGACAATGGGACTGAAATTAAACTCCTATGTGGGTTTTTTTTCTACCTTCCTCTCAAAAAACTAACCAGCTCTTCCCTACTTTTGTGCTGTAAGGGGGAAGAAATTATGTCCTGAAACAGGAAATAGGGAAAGCTGGTAATATTCTCCCTTTGGCTGAGAGGATTTCTAGTGCCATACAGGTGCAGCCTGTGCTGAACAGGTCTGGATGGTATAAATAGGCTTTATTTAGCAGTTGGTGGCACTAAATGTGGGGGGGTTGTCAGCTAAAAAGGACAAAGTGTCAAATGGCATCGTGGGGCTATGTCATTATTGCCACTCAATGGCTTTGCATCCAGATTCCAAGGAAAAAGATGGCTTTTCTGGCTGCCAGCTTCGCTGCCTCCATCTGGGATCTGAAATTCAAGCTGTGTCTTCCCTGGCTCTGTCACTAATAATAAAGATTCCTCATTTGGAACTTACTTAAACAAAATTGATGCTGATGCAGGAGCTGAGAGAGAACCCAGCTCTCCTTCCTCGAGGCGTGTGGGCTAAAGCACCAACAAGGGGGAACATCCTCATTTTAATCCACCGGGTCATCAGACAATTTAATAGACAGCAGATTTGTGGAGGAAACAGAAGATATTTTAGCATAACAAGCATGTTGATCAGGCAGCTTTTTAACAAATGCTAGAAAGCTGATGGAATTTGGTCAGCTCAGCGTCTGCTCCCAGCCTCGGCAGTAATGGCTCATTATGTGTCGTTAGGAAGCTTTTCTGCAAATCTGGGGAAATTACATTTGGTGGGGAACATATGGTGTAATGTTCAACTCTCTCCTTGGGAAGTGCAGGCTGACTACTCAGTCAAAGAGGTGCCATATTTTTATCAGGAGAGTGGATGTGCAGCTGTGACATTCGCTTTGGAGTGAGGTAACCTTTCATGTCTTTGGCAAACACTGGCATTAGCAGCCTGTTCCTCCTCCCAATTTAAATCTCCTCCAGAAAGTCATTACCAGCTGAGATTGTACTAACACTTTCCGCCGTGTAGGTGTTTCCTCCTCGGATGCTATTGAACTGTCAAGGAATAAAATGCCTAATGTTCTCATTTTCCTCGGAGGAGAGAGCCCAGAGCTTGTGCTGGTGCCTGTGGTGGCGAGGGAGGTGTGAGAAGTGGCTGGTGCTGTGTTGTGAGTTGGAAGGACACGCTGTGCAGGGTTTGTTTGCTCCACACTTCCTCCCGCGGCTCCGCTTTCCTAAACTCGTGGGGGAGGAATATATTGGCTAAATTGTACTTGTAGGCATAATATTACAGTGCTTGGAAGGATGGAGGCAAGTGGTACTTAACTTTAAACACTGCCAGCCCTGAGTGTGCTGGCAAAGGGTTCTGTTTGCAGCTTCTTGCTCCTGTTGTGCCCTCGGTCTCTGCTCAGTTGATTCTTGGAAATCAGTGGGATTAATCCCCAGGGGCTGCTGGGGGGCTGCTCCCCTTTGCTTTTAGAGATCAACAGGGAATCAGCACTTGCAGGGCTCTCTGGGCTCCCTGTCATGCCAGCCCACTCCCACTTGCTGCTTTTTAGTATTTATTGAAACCTCCTTTTTCCAGCTCCTGCTCCAACAATGAGTCAAAATCAGCAGTCAGGGAAAAACACGCGGGGAACGTGGGTGGCCTTTGGGGTATGTTCTGCTGTGGCCCAGCATGACTTCCCTCAGTGTGTCTTGGGTTTATTTTTCCCTGATCCCTTCCCTTTATTGACTGTAAAACACCTCAGGAGTATCTTTTGGCAGCTGTTGTTGGGAATGAGGTCTCTGTTCTAAAGATGGGCTTGAACTCACACAGGCCCAGAGCCTTAATGGTGTGGGACTCTCATGGGTGACACTGGAATTTAATACCTAAACAGCTTTGATGTTTATGACCCTCAGAAAAGCGAGATTTTAAATAACTTTCTTCTCCTATAAGGGGAGAACCTTTTCCCAAAGCATGGTCTTGTTGCATCACTTCAGTCTTGAGTTGCTGAAAATATTTTCTTGAACTGGGTGGCTTGGAGTCCCTCTCTGAGCTGAGTTGCTGCCAGGCTACATTTGTTTCTCCTCACTAACAGCATTATTTCCTTACTCTCAAACCCTGCAGTTATGGGGCATCATGATGACCCTGGAACCTCCTGCCCTGTCCTGGTGTGAATATTGACACCAACCCTTTACATTTTAATTCTCTTCTACCAAATGAGTGGTCCCATCTCTGTTAGGAAAGAAAGGGCTTAAACCTCTCTCTGGGGAATAACAAAGGGGGTTTGGTCTGCATTCCCAGGGACAACTGTCTTTAAAAACAGCCACACAACCCCCCAACCTGCCAAATTACCCGGGTGAGTTTCCTCTTGAGCACCTTCTGAGGGCTGTTTGCTTGGCTGTCTGCTCCCGGATTAGGAGAGAGCATCTCCCTTATCGTTTTGCACATGCTGCACCATCTGTCCCAAATCTCCCTTTGGAGGGCTATGGATTCCAAATGCTGTTTCTTTCTTTAGGAGATAACAGCCGTGTCTGAAGGATTTTGCTAGGTATGGCTGTGGTGCTATTTATGGTGCAGGTTTGTTTTTTTTTTGTCCTGCAGCCAGAGTGAACTCTGAACCTTCCTGGGTTTCCCCACCCAGACATTTTGGGTTTAGTCACTGGGAAATACAGGGAAAGCCCCCCAGTTCTGTGGGGTGTGTTCTGCTAGGAGCAGGTGAATATAAAATTACCAAATTCAGGTGTTACAAGGACACAAGAGATGCCTTTAATCTTTTATTGTACATTATAAAATGTTTATTGCTCTGTCTGTATCAGAGGTGTTGACCTCTCCCTCTTGGTGATGGAGGAGTATGTTCTGGCAAAGGATCCACTGAAGAGACCTTTGGGGTTGGCCTGTCTTCTGAAGCCAGCACAAGGGAAGCCTTTGCTTGTTCACCAACACATCTGCAAGCAAACTTCCCTGTGCCTTTCTCCCAGACCAGCTCTTTTGGAAAGGCTGGTGCCAGTGGAAGAGGAGAGATGGCTGAAGTCCTTCCTGCCAGCCTGTTTCCTTGCAGGGACTTCTAACCCAGGCTCATCTGAGTGCAGGTTTGTTGTAACAAGATCCAAACCCTACTCAGGCCAACCTGTCTTGGCATTGGATGGAACAAGTAGGATCCTGCCTCATCCCCTAGTGCATATGGAGTGGTCTCGTGGAGTAATTAAATAAATACAGATACCCCATGGCACACTACAGAGAGTAAATCTTGTCCACATGATGGTCCTGCATCTACCAGCTTCCAGAGCACCAGCAATCCCAGGGATCCTGTCAGCTTGCAAGCATCAAGCACTTAATAAGAGAGAGGAGAATCCCAGCCCCTTTCCCGTTCATCCTCATCCTTTTTGGGAAGGGCTGTCTCCAGCAGATACCTGCCCTTCCAACACCACAAAAATAGCACAGGCACTGTCAGGAGAACCAGCCCTTCCCACAGAAACCCTGCTAAAAGAAGCATTTTAAGAACCTAAGCCCTCAGAAAAAGGTCCCTCAGGCCAGAGCCTTCCACAACAAACAGCTCTTGCCCCTGGAGCCCTTGCATAGCAACCGGTATCATCAGGTATTTTGTCTTTTTTTTTTTCTTTTTTTTTTCTTTTTTTTTTTTTGCTGACTGGCTACATTTTTATGGACCTTTTATCACACTGGTGGTGGACTCAGGCCCAGCTGAAAATACCATGAAGAAAATGGTTGAAATTATCCTTGGAAGCTAAATAACAGCTTCTGGTGTCCCCTCGTGTCTGTCTGTGCCTCAGTGTTCCCCGGTTTTCTGAGGTGAAGAGCACCAGTGTGAGACAGGAGAGACAGCAGCAGTGAGAGATGTGCTGCAACCAGGGGAGGTTCTCCTGGTGGGAATGGAAACTGGGGGATGCCTTTTTTTTTTTGTTTCTAAAAACCCACCTGCGAGACGTGTCACACAACACACATCGATGAGCAAAGCGAGGCGAGAGCGCGCAGCAGCCGGAATTCGGCTCGGTGGCGGCGTTTGGGATGAGCTTCCCTCCATCCCTGCTCGGAGAGGGGTGTCGGTGCCTGGTGCCCGAGCTCACGGGAATTCTGCCAGGGTGGAGTGACAGTGAGACCAAATAAAGACACAACAAAAACCTCCTGCATTCCCAGAGGCAGGAAAGTCGTCCCAGAAGACGGAGCGTGAGGGTGGAAAGGAGCGTGTGAGACGTTGCTCCAGCCCAGGTGATCCACGAGTCCGGGGCAGCACCTGTCTCACCAATGCTTTTCCGTCTTCTTTGGGTGTCAGGGATTTCTGAAGGATTTTCCTTCCTGGCCAGATGTTTTGCAGGAGGTGGGAGGAGATGTCTGCCAGCAGGTGACAATCACTGGGTCTCTTTCCAGGTCGCTCTGACAATGTTTCACCTCCCCAGTCATCACGGCTCAGAGGCAGAAAGTGAGAGTGAGGGATGGAGTCCATCGATCAGGTGACAGGCCTGTCATGCTTCGATGATATTCACTGAGGGCTTGTTTTTTGGAAACTAGGAGAGAAGAGGAAACAAAGGGAGAAAGGATGGATAGAGGGGGAAAAAACCCAACCCACATCAGAGGTCAGTGCACTGTGCTGGTCAGGTTCTGTGAGAATTCTTGTCCCGTCCCCTCATGATGATGAAAAAGGGCCAGAGCTGAGCCTTAGGCTTCTGTGGTTCCTCACTGCTTCTGAGTGAGCAGAAATTAGTGAACTGTTTAAAATAATAAATAAATGTGAAGCGGTGGGGATGTGCCAGAGAGAATAGAAACACAAGGAAGTTAAATTAATTGAAAGAAGTCGGTATAAATTACAGGCTCGAGCCTGTTTTAAGCTGAGCCTGTTTACTAAGGCTGTGACAAACCTTTGACATCGTGCACCAGGCAGTGCTCCTGCTGATTAACTTTCAGTTAATTACAAGAGCAGTGTCCTCTTCGCCACGTGCCACCTGAGGGCTGTGGAAGGACCCCAGGAACTCTTTTAAGCTGAGCCTGTTTCCTAAGGCTGTGACAAACGTTTGACATCGCGCCCCAGCCAGTGCTCCTGCTGATTGACTTTCAGTTAATTACAAGAGCAGTGTCCTCTTCACCACGTGCCACCTGAGGGCTGTGGAAGGACCCGAGGAACTCGTTTTTCTTCCAGAGGTGTTCCGATAATTCAGAATTGTGGGTTAAATCCTGATTTCTGATGGCAATTCAGGCCCATCCAGAGGCTTGGCTGGCTGGCTCAGAGCACCAAGTGGCTCGTGGGGGTGGAGGGTGTTCCTTTTCCGCATCCCAGCTGCAGGGGGGGTGTTTAACAGGGTTTTTGGGTGATTCAGGGCTGTGTGCCCTGTCCCCAGCTCTCACCTTGCTGCGCAGGAGCCCCCCGCCCTGGTGCTCCGGGGTGCTGTTCTCCGAGGCGCTCTTGGCTTTCTCCTTGCTGTTGTTTGGCTCGTTGTCTTTGATGATGTCGTACTGTCTGCAGAACAGGGCGATCACCCCTGACAGGAAAAACCATCAGTGATCACACAAACGAGCTCAGCCTGCCGAGATCAGAGATCCCTCCTTGCCAGCCGCCTTTGTGCCTCCTCGGCAGCATCCACAATTCCTCCCAGGGATCATTTTCTAACGCAGCCAGGCAGCCCTCTGGCTCTTTCCTTCCCCCGTGCCTAATTCCATGCTAAACTAGTTAGACAGGAGGACAGAAGCTTAATTATGTTCCAACTTCCCTGTTAATAAATGGGACAAGTGTTTTAAGCCCTCACGCCAACAACCAACCCCTGCGGTTCGATGGGAGTTTTTTGCTTTGCAAACGCAGGGGCTCCTGGAATTTCTGGTTAGTGAAAACCTGTCCTCTGAGGGGAAGAGGAGCTGGAGCTGGCAGAGGGGAGGCAGGTCCTGTGTGCCAGCAGCAGGACAGCACCTGCAGATGTGCAACAGCCACGGCAGCACAGGCTGCAAGTGGAAATTTCCTCCCGCCCAGGCACTTGGAGAGGGAAGCAGGGGCAGCCATGGCACGTAAGAAGACTGCAAATGTCTGTCTCCAAAGCTTCCTTGTGATGCTTTCACCAAATAACATCTCTGCCTGCACATTCCAGACACGTAGGTTAAGTAGGTCCAGGCAGATGCTGCTTTTCCCTTACTGAAAAACACTCCTTAATAGCAAAATGTGTGTAAAACTTCCACCAGATCACCACAAACTGCTCTGTGAGGTGAGTTGTGGTTATGGCAGCTGCCCCCAGGCTTTGCTGACATGCACAGAGATCCCAGTCCTTTCTTTGGGAATGGGGACAAAGGGCTGATCCTGGGAGAGCAGGTGTTAACATCTGCCAGGGTCACACCTTCTGTGATCCCAGAGGGCAAAACTGAGGCACAAAGAAGTAAAGTGCCACAAAAAATGCCAGAAACACCGACAGCACAAGAGTTTGGGGCTTGGCTCAGTCCAGAGCCCTGGGCACAGACTGGTTCCGGTTTGGATTTGCTCAAACATCATCACACAGGGCAGGTTAAGAGCTGGAGGGAGGGTTTTTTTACACTGAGACTTTGTAAAGAACCCACTCGATGCAGAGATTCTTCCCCCCCACCCCTCCTCTCCTTTTTAAATGTAAGTCATCTGTCTGGAAGGGAAATTGTGGGATTAGCAAATTCTTTGTTCCCAGCTGATCTGAGTTTCAGATTATTCTACAGGGGGAGATGAATCAGTTGTTCAGTCGCTCCATGTAATTATTCATGATTGTTTTTCCTGGCAGGGCATTTAAATTTGGATGTGCACAAGTAAAATTTGGCATAAATGCTGAAAAAATCATGGACTAGAGGTTTTGGAAACCCTTTAATTTAGTTTAGGTTTTTGTGTGGTTGTTGTCTTTGGGAATAACTTCTGCCCTGGCTCTGGAGGTGCAAATAAGGGCAAAAAAAATGTAATACATGTAGGGACCTTTGCAGGACATAGTTAATCCTTCCTTCCCCCTCTGTGATGAGGAATATTCTGTGTGTGGGAAAGTAGTTTGACTGGGACAGGGGAACTAAACACGAGTGGCAAAGGCTGTCTTGTTATGGATCACAGATTTATCCTGCTGCTAATTACCCTCCCTGCCAGATTTCCTCGGGTCACCTGAGCCATTCAGGGAGCAAATGTGGGATCATTAATGTTTTACAGGCAGTCAGGGGACACCAGGGCTCTGAACAGAGAACAAACCTGTGCAAACTTGACTTCCCATTAACTCATGGGTGTAATTTCCAAACAACAGCCACTTCAGACACACTAAACCGACAGAGCAGCAGTTGGAGGGGTTTTCCTCTCCCTATTTACAGGCTTAAAACACAAGTGAGATCTCCCCTAGGTGCAATTTCCTGTAAGATCTGTTGACTTGTGGTGCCAAGCTCTTGTTGGAAAACTCTTCCATATGCTTCCATTATTTTAATTGGTTTTAAGTAGATTTTAGTGTGTACATTTATATATGTATATACATATATATATATAAAATAGTGGGTGTGGAGAGTGAGACTCTTAAATTTCTGTTTTGCATGAGTGTTGGAGTCATATAATATCCAGATAATTACAGATGCCCTGTATCATCTGAAGGGCTCGAGGCATCCCCTTGGATGTTTGTGTGCCCCATCCCTGGAAGTGTCCCAGGACAGGTTGGACAGGGCTTGGAGCAGCCTGGGTCTAGAGGGAGGTGTCCCTGCCCGTGGCAGGGGGTGGGACTGGATGATCTTTAAGGTCCCTTCCAACCCCAACCAGTCCATGATTCCAGGGCTGAGGGCGTTATATTCAGATCATTCCGGAAAAAAAGGAGATTACAGGATTAGCCATTGGGAATTGGCTCCATCAAGTCCATTATCTACTCCTGGTGGACCAGACCTGACCCACTGATTCTCCTGCTTTTGGCACTGCTCAGCCTTACAGCTGAGTACTCCACACTCCTGGTGGGAGGAAGGGTCTCTTTTCATGTCTTTCCATGATTACACGTGCAAACCAAGCCATCCATCCATCCATCCCTAGGGATACTCTGTGGATATCACATGCTTTTGAGGGAGAGGTTGAACTGACCTGCCCACATAAACAACACCACAACAATGATGAGAATTTCCCCCGCTCGCAGCTGTTGGTTTTTCTTCGCCATCTCCTTCATTGTCACCTCATCTGCACAAGGGGGGAAAGAGAGACATGAAACCAAACACCCTGAGCCAAATCTGCAGCGTGTCAGGGTCACAGCTCTGAGGGAGTCCTCACCCTGACAGGAGGGCAGCTTGGATGGGATGTTAGGAAGAAATTCCTCCCTGGGAGAGTGGAGAGGCCCTGGCACAGGTTGCCCGGAGAAGCTGTGGCTGCCCCATCCCTGGAAGTGTCCAAGGCCAGGTTGGAGCAACCTGGGCTAGTGGAAGGTGTCCCTGCCCATGGTAAGGAGTGAGACTGGATGATCTTTATGTCCCTTCCAAGTCAAACCATTCCATGATTCTGTGATTCATTCTCTGATTCTGTGACATCCTGAAGGGACAGAGCAGGGACAGGATCAACAGGAGCTGCCACAGGGTGAGCCCACATGTTACCTGTCCCTGTGGTGGCTCTGCTGTCTCTGTCCCTGTAAGTGCTGTCTGTGGCTGTCACAAAGCCTTGCAGGCTCCAGCAGTTCCTGGAGCCTGGTAGGATATTTTGCAGTGGAGCCCTGGGATTCAGAAATGAGCAGAGCCTTTTTGCAGGGTGTAATTCGCCTCCTTGGCTTCAAAGCACTAAGAAGATTACAGTTCAGGCCCCCAGGAAGGGAGCACTGCTCCTCTTAGTGCTTTCAGATGAACAGCAATTCAGTATTTACAGCCACCAAATCTTTTAATAGAAAGAATCAAGAACTTGCAACGTCCTTGGAACCATGGCCAAATGCCCTGGAACAGGCTGGATCCTCAGCAGGCAAACAGGGACCTGTGTGTGCCACAGCCCTGCACTCCCAGGCCCTTTTTGGAGCAGGGATTCTTGCTGACAGAAACCCCTCAACAATCTGGTTTGGCTTGAGAGGAACAGGTGAAGGAGTTGCCAGTGAGGAAGTGCCTGATTTCCTCCGTAGAGATATCCAAAACCCAACTGGATGTGATCCTGGACAACCTGCCCTGAGCAGGGCTTTGCACTGGGTGATCTCAAGATGTCCCTTCCACCCTCAGCTTTCTGTGATTTGGCAGAAATATTTCAAATGTAAGAAATATTTGGGGTATTTTTTTTCCTGCTGCCCTGGAATCCAAGCGCAGGAGACTCCTCGAGTCCCACAAGTGCCAGTGCCATCCAGGGGGCTGGTTCCACATGAGTTCACAGACTGCTCAGGAATTTCCCCCTGGCATTCTCCACTTGCAGGGAGCTGGACACACAGCTCCCAGTGTGGAAACCTTCTCCTCCTCACTTTGCCTGTTAAACCTCATCTGAAACTGGAGAGAGGAGCAGCCCGCCTTGGCAGCACCTCCCTGTCACCTTGTGCACCCCTCAGCCTTGTCTGCTGGGTACCCCGAGGCATCCTGCTTGTCCCCTGAGGGCTGTGAGAGAACACTCAGCCCCCTGTGTGTGTTTATCCCAGCCATTCTCCCTGCACAGGATCCTGTTTCCTCTCTGCAGAGCCCTGCGCTGCCTTGGGCGTCCCGGGGGCCACACAGGAACTCACCCACACTTGCCTTTATTTTTAGAGGCTAGTTTCTCAGCTTCCCTGGGGGTCTTGAAGAGGACTGGCTCACTGGCAGGGCTCTGGCCTTGGATGCTGATGGACTGGACATGCACAATGTACTCAGTGTCCTCCTCTAGGTCCCAGAGGGCACAGGAGCGGGTGGTGGTGTTCACCTCCTGGATGAAGCGCAGCATCCGCACGTCCTTCTTCTGGAAGCCGAGAGAGGAGAGCACAGAGTGGTGGGGAGGCTTCCCCGTGTGCACTGCTGTCCCCTAAGGCCACCTGCCTCCTGCCCTGCCCACCAGGGACGTGGGGACCCATCGGGCCCTTCCCTCTCTGCAGCCACCAGCACATGAAACGTCGCTGCAAAGAGGACAGGGAGCCAAATCCCCTCAGACCACAGGGGGCAGGACGGGAAGGAATGGGCTTAAACTGCAGCAGGAGGATTTGGGCACCGAGGGGACCTGGGGGGGGAAGATGAACATGACTGGAGCTGAGTAACTGTAGGCACTGTACCTGTTGGGAAATTGCAAATCCAATGACAACTTCGTCCTCCAGAACATCCCAAGTCACCACGGCCGAGTTGGCTTTCAGGTGTTTGACCGTGACATTGACTGGAGCCGACGGGCTGTCTGCAAGGAGGGAGAGCAGAGCCTTTACAGGGGCAGGAGACAGAGCTAGAGCAAGGAAGGGAGTGGGAAAAGACCTTCCTCGGGGTCCTTCCTGGGTTTGTTTCTGGATATGGGACCTGGAAATTGCAGGTACTCCAGGTCTCGATTCCCAGTGAGGTTCTAGGAGGTCTCTGCTGAGAGTATGAGTGTCACTGGGCACAGGTTCAAACTGAGAGAGGGGAAATTTAGCTTAGATATTGGGAAGGAATCCTTCCCTGTGAGGGTGGGGAGGCCCTGGCACAGGTTGCCCAGAGAAGCTGTGGCTGCCCCTGGATCCCTGGGAAGTGTCCAAGGCCAGGTTGGAGCAACCTGGGCTAGTGGAAGGTGCCCCTGCTCATGGCGGGGAGAGGACCTGGATGATCTTTAAGGTCCCTTCCAACCCAAACCATTCCATGATTCTGCATATGAAATAACTGACCCTTGGGAAGAGTTCCTTTACCAACACAGCCAAGCCCTGAGCAGCTCATTCATCTCCTCCTTCCCAGCCACGCTCCACGTTCTCTCTGTTGTTCCCTACTACGGTCTGACAGTGACAGCTGGGAGGAGATGCAAAATCTGCCTGGGAAGTATGCAAAGGGAATGCTTTGATGAGCGCTCTGGAGGTTTGAAATGCAGGAGTAGTAACTGGGAGTGTTTCTTTTGCTTTTCCCTGTAAGTTTGGCAGAAAATGTTTCGTACACGTTTCGTGGCCAATGTCAGAGGAAATCCAGCAATCATCCACCCATATTACACTGGAAAAAGGGCAGGTCAGGAAAGCAGTTGCCTGAGGCTCTGTGTTTATTCCCAGTTCCAGTAGAATGGCCCTGTGGAGCTGCCAGCCCTGCCAAGGAGAGCTGGACTCCTGCACACCCTCCCTGAGAGCCTCTTCCCCAGGGAGCTGCACAGTCCAAAGCCCTTCTTGGCATCTCAGGTGAAGGTTTTACATCATAAACTTGGCACAGCTCTTCCAGCTGGACTCTGTTCCCTCTCCTCTGGTCACATTTAATTCACAATCTCCAGCTTGTGCCCTGAACCCAAAGCAGTAAATGCTCTAAATAACCCCAGGAGGGTGAGGAAGAGTAATGTTTTTTCTGACTTTTATAAGAAGATAATAATTTTGTGGCATTAGAATCACTGCACAGCCCCTTTGGGGCCGGGGCTGAGGTCACCAGTAAAAGAGGGAAGCACGTGTGCCCATCTCCAGTAACACTTGTTGGATTTATGGTCAGTCCCAGCCGCCTGGATGTGGCTGAAAATATTCAAGCTGTAGTGTCAGTGTCTCCAAACAACTGACATCACTCCTGGTGAATGTTCCCCTGGGTACAGAGAAATAACAGGAGCACAGAATTCCCCAGCTGAAGGTCAGTGCTGTCCTACACTCACAGAGCAACACCCTCATTCCTTCCACACCCACCAGGGAGTCCCTGAAGAATAGGATGTCTGGACGAGAATCAGACCCAGACTGATTCCAGAGAGTCTCTCAGTGAGCAAAAGCATTGCTGAATGGCTAAAGTTGGGACTTCAGGAGGAGCAGCAAGTGATTGTGGTCTCCAGGATTTCACATTCATTCCCCTCTGGAGCAGATGATGGAGTCGGTGTTGACCCAGAGCATTCTCATCTCCCAGGGGCTGGCCCTCATGGAATGAGGCAGTGTTCCCCTGCCAGCTCTTGGGGGAAGGAAACACTCATGAGGAAACACTCATCATCCTCACCTTCCCCTGCAAGCCAAGGACAAGCCGAGGAGGGAGATGGATCATCCTCCCCATCCCGAGCACCAACCCCTGCCAGCCCCGGCTCCCTGCTGTGGCACAGGGAAGGGACGTGGCTCTGCATCTCTCACCTTCCCCCGTGCCTGAACCAACCAGAGTCGGGTCTAATTTTAGGAAGGGGCAGTCAGCAGACAGGAATGTGCACAGGGAAGGTCTGTGAGTCATGCCTGATGAATTTGCTGGAACATACGGAGAGGACATGACTGAGTTGAGGGATGGGAGACAAAACAGTCTCCAGCTGCAGCCGGGCACTTCTGCACCGTTGAATCCCGGCGTGGTTGTCTTCCCTGGGTATTTTTAGGAGCTAAATTTTGGTGGTTTTTTTTTTTCAGGAGCTACCACTCAGCTTAAGTTGAGGAGGCCTTGGAAAAGATTAATTAACCCCAAGGAAAAGAGAGCAGAGATCAGGGAAAAAGCTGGGAAAAGGGAACACGCAGCACTCTGCGCTTGGTACCTGAGTCCCCTTTGAAATTTGTGACCTTGAGGGAGGCACAGCATAAAAGTGTCCAAGTTTCCCGATGACATAAAATGTGGGGGAGTTGGGAAGACCTTAAAGAGCTGGGGAAGAGCAAAGAACCCTCTGGGAAGTGGTGGGAGAAGGTGGAGGCAGGAGGGAACACTTGGCAAAGCTGCAACCCAGAGCTCAAAGCCTGCAAAGCCGGAATCTGAATGGAGGTGGGGGAGAAATCATCTGATGTGGGTGGTCAAGAACATTCTAGAACACCCCCCTTGAAGCAATACCTGAGAGAGAGGCAGACTAGTTGAAGTCAGCAGCTCTAAAATCTGGGAATCTAGGACAGCCTTCCCTTGCACTACCACAGATTAGGAGTAGCTACACATAAATCAGTGGTGTCAAACCAGCATAAAAAGCACTAAGAAAAGAGAGTTAAGCAGTGTTTGACAGAAATACAAACCCAGGAGGAATGAGTTTCCTGCTCCCAGAGCTGAGTGAATAATTTGGAAGCAAAATTTTCACCCGTGAGGATCCTTTTCTGGCCGCTCCCGGGAGATGCACAATGAGATCACGACTTCCTAAAATCCAAACACTGTTCCAAGATATTCCATGTGACTTTTGGCTCCCTGGGCCCGTTGCAGCTCTCTGTAGTGCCAGCCTGGCTGAGATCAGGTGGAGAAGGTGTAATTCCTGCTTCCCAGCCGGCTGCAGGGGGTCAGCAGCTCTAGCAGGGCCAAATCCAAGCCTTTGCTTCCTCCTAGAGTCATGTGCAACTCCTGGAAACTTTGCTTCTGTGCCTGTGGCAGCCAGGGAAGGTGCTGGTGTTCTGGGAGTGGGCACAGAGGGTGGGATGGCTGCAGGGATAGCAGGGAACATGTTGTGGATCAAGCCTTTCTCTGCCTGTTTACTCCAGGATCTCTGAGGGCAGCACATTCCCTGTCTGGTCCTCGAGGGACCCGTGTGGTGCAATATTCCTGGTTTAGCAGTTTAGCTTCATCCCAGAGCAGGAGCTGTGATGCTGCTGGAACAAATCCCACTCTGCAAACTGGCAGAGGATCTGTTTGGCCGAATTTGGATGGAAAGATACTCCCCTTCTCACATCAGCAGAAACTGAGCTCCCCCCTCTCCCCCCCGCAAGGGGAAGCCTTGATGATATAAGGCGGAATCAAGGCTCTTAAACACGAGCAGCAGCTTCAAAGCCGGGGATTCTAAAGCCATGTCTCCTTTCCTTCCCACAGAATCCGCAATCTCAGGTCCCCCAGGGCTGGGTGTCCCAGCTCTGCCCCCCTCTTCACCTGGAACCCTTCTGGCAGGTGCAGGTCGGCGCCGCCGCTGCGCAGCAGGAAGACATGAACCCTGGAGATCATCCCTAATCCCCTCTGGATCCTGAGAAACCCCTTCCAGCCTCCCATTAAATGTTTTCCTTGTTATGAGTGGACTTTGATTTGAGAGAGAGAAACCCCCACACACACTTCAGAGCCCTGGGTTGGCTCCTCCCTGGCTTTGTTATGGGCACAGAGGCCACTGTGGGGGAAGAGGAAGAGGAGACCAACCACTGCTCCGTGTGTTGGCTCCACCACTGGAGCTGTAAATAGGATGGGATGGGTGGGAGAAAGAGCAGGGGGAAGGTTTGTCTCCATCCCACTGCTGCTGTCACCTGGGAAGGGGGGGATGTTGATCGGGAGGTGGTGGAGTGAGAAAAGGGGGTGTCCAAACCCTGGGGTGTCTTGCCTGGCACCTGTAGGATCAGGGAGGTTCCTGGGCCACAAAGGCATCACTGAAGGAAAGGAGGAATCTATGGAAATATCACACCCTTGGAGGTCACCTCAGGCCGGCCAAGTCCTGTGGTTGGGTTATAGGTTTGGAATTAAAGTGTATTCCTGGATTTATCTCCCCAGCCAAGGGGCCCAGCCTGGCCCCAAAAACCTCCCTCTGAATTCAACTGTCCTGGAAACTCCAACCACTTGGAGGTGCCTGGAATTGCTTCCCACATGGCTGAAGCTATGCTGTGCTCCCAGCATTTCCCAGTTCCATTAGCTCCTCTCCCAGGCAGCTCCTTTCCTGCAGGGAAGGGCTCAGAGCCTCAGAGCCCCAGGGACATGGTCCGGTGAGCCGAGTGCCTGCCGAGGCTCTGAAGCAGCTCCTTCCATGCCATCCACCTGCCAGCTGCCCTTTCCTGCAGGGAGCAGTGAATGCCAGCCTTAAATCCCAGCAGCTCTTTATCCCTGCAGCCCACAGATGCAGGAGATGGAAGGACACGACCTGCAAGGGGAAGGAGCATCCGTGAGATCCATGTGATGTTCTCAGGCATGTGGATTCACACAGACCTGCTTTTGCTGCCTCTCTGAGCCTCTCTGAGCTCTCCCAGCATGGATCCCATCAGTGGATATAATTGCTTGCCGGCTTTATGGGGTGTGTGGGAAGGGCTGGCACATTGCTCAGCGTTCCCGAGGGTTTTAATGAGGGGAGCCCCAGGGGAGTGCGAGGGAGCAGGGATCATCCTGCTCCCGGCCCCGTGGGGAGCGGGGCTCTTTGCTGAGCTCTGGCAATTTCAAAGAGCAGAAAGACCAACTGGTGGTTCTTTGGGCTGGGAAAGAGGCAATTATTTCCCGCTGACCGCCCACTTCCCTGCAAAAACGGGATATTAATAGGCCAGCCCCCTCCCGCCCACCCCTCGGCTCTGCCGCCGCTTCCCAGCGAGCAGGTGCCCAAACTTGAGGGTGGAAATGCTGTCAGGGAGGATGGAGCCTTTTCACAGAGCATGGAGATGTTCTCTGTGTCCAGCCTGGCTGCTGGGAATCCCTCAGGGCAGAAGGAAGGGGTGCTTCTGCTTTGGAGAGTCCCACACTGCCAAACCTTGGGGTCCCCGAGTCCCAAAGCCAGGCAGGATCCCCTCGGGTCCCTTCAATCCCTTTGGATTCTAATGCTGCAAACCCACAGCAGAGTCATTGCCATCATGG